TTGTTTCTCTATGCCAGGGCAAATTTATGATTTGCTCCAGGCTGAATTGATGGACAATGATCGGATACGCCTTGTCTAACATGCAATGTATTGCAAAAAGCATAATTTTTGAACACAATACAAACTACGTAACTATTTTATTCTTAAATTTTTAAACTTACATAAGTTGAATGTTGTAGGTATATCCTAGGACTAAAATTAATATGTTTTGTAAATTTTTAAATTAATTTACTGGAATACAACATCGTCATTTAACGTGTGAAACATAACTGGCTCATAAAACCGTGTGTTCGGATAATTTAACAATTCATTTAGCTTTACAATATTAATTAATTCCCCACAACAATTTACACTGTCCAGTCGACGTTTTTTTTCTGTAACAAGCAAATGTGCAATGTGATAGATTGAGCCATTGTTTTCCAACGCCACAACCACGAAGAAGGTTAATAAAATCATAAATTTCATTTGTGTGCTTTAATTCAATGAAAATTGCTTCGCACTGAATGATTTACGTTAAAGGCCAACCTTTGTTACTTTGCTTTATACAAAATTGCGTTTGTGTGCGTGTGTTGAATTGGTTACTCATTTATATCAGTGAAAAATAATGGAAGCGTCAGTCGGAAAATACTGCATATTATGGTAGGAAAAAAAAATAATTTTCAATTATTCAATGCTTTTATTTGCAATAATTTATTACACAAGATACACGCATTGTAAAAAAGCGGTGCCTATCTCATATGATTTATTCTTTTGTTTCTTCTCGTTGTTAATAAATTATACTTTATGCTACGACAGTGATCGCGGAATTATCATCATTTGAATACCAAATGATGTCCGTTCAAAACACAGGACTATTAAATTAAAAGTTTTTTGCGAGTTGTTATAAACTGCCTATTTAATAACATCATAAAATGGTATATTATAGTCACAAATTGATCAGTACACGGGAAATACCGTATTTGGTTTCGTGTTAACGACGAAAAAAATGTCGAAATGGACTGATAAATATGCGAGTAAGGACATTTAAAATCAATTATATTAATTTAATGTTATTTTCAATTAATTTAAATAAGTCAACGGAACTTTTTTGCCATATCTATTTGCCATCCGCATCAACTCGAAATAAAACGCAAGTAGAAAAATTCGAAAAGGATACTCGCGTAAAAACGATTATTTTGTTGTTAACAAATAAATATGTTGCATTTCCTGTGCTTGTATTAATCGATATATTACTATATGTTCTTGGAAAGTCAAGAAAAATATAAGCATATCAGAGAATACCTGGATTAAACCAGTATGAAACTATAAGCTTGATTGATAACGTCGTTGGGGCACGTTTTCGCGAGACATCGAGTCATTACAGCTACCATGCTATTTATGGTACCTTGTCCACCGGCATATTGATCGTACAGACCGGTCTCGCCGTAGGACATAGTCAATCACGACAATTTCACATGTACACAGATAAAACCTTATCACAAATTCTATAGATTATAAATAAAATTTGAGAAATATGAACATCTACGAAAATGTTAAATATTAGGTTTATAGTACTATACTAGTTATTTTTAAAATCTTTTTATAGATGTTTATAAAAGTAACTTCACCCAAGATACATAATAAAGTCATGATACGGTAAGATGTGTGTATGTAGTTTGAATAACATTTTAAAAATTGCAATGATAAAGGCGAAAAGTGGAAGGAGACAAAGTAACATCAAAGACACGCTCGGGACAGAGGAGACTTATCAAAAAATATAAATGTATTTTTATTATATTTGAAACGACTTTTATGACTTCCACACGTTGCTTGCACACATGTTTTATTTTGAATCATACGTTGTAGTAACTTATATTGGTGACATTAAGATATAACAAGAATTCATTTTAGGACGACATTTTATGAAATTCAGATAACTAGCATTCTCATGCAACTCCGTCCGCATAAAATTAAATACAAAAGTAAGGAACCTTTGTGTTCTTCCAGACTATCATCTACATTTATGCCAAATTTCATCGAGATCTGTTCAGCAATTTATCTTCAAACTCTAACATCCTTTTAAACTTTCGCACTTATAATAGTAGTAAAGTAAGATTTTATCTGTACCTTGAATCGTGTTGTATTTGTAATTTTTAAGTGTAGTTTACATTAGTATTTGAATATGCACTACACAACCTATGTGTAGGTATTCTTAGGTCGGTGATATGAAGAGTTCTCAGTCATTCGTGTAACAGAATCCGCGGACACCTGATCCCTCTCTCAAGGTTCCCCATATGTATTACTCTTTTTACTCGACGAGTAATTATTCCCGCGCTTAATAACAAAAAAATATTCATAGCTAGAGATCTTAACAACTTTGTTTATAAAACTATTTAAAACAGCTTAAATTCACTTTTGAAGGAAAACATCGTGATGCAATCTGCATATTGGAGAAAATTTAACGATGTGTGTTAAGTCAAACAATCCGTAATAGGCCACCATGGTTGACCTAATCACTCTAGCTTAAGGTAGGCTCGGTGCCTCTCTGTGGAGACGTATAGGGAGCTGGTGATGATGATAATGAATTTCACTTTAACAAATATTTCTACGAACACCAACAGGTTAATAAAAATAAAACTCAGCTCGACAATTATGTAGCAATTCCTCAACAACGCTACAAACAGGCAGAACAAATGTATCTCGATTTTCTTAACGGACCGTAAACGGCAAGAAATGAGAAAGTAGCGGCTAATAGATACAATAGGGCTGGCGCGATAGCTCCGCCGGGGCAACTTTCATACGATAGAAAAACTTGCAGAACTTTACGATACGTGCATTGGCGCAACTCGAACCAGTTTCA